CTTGTGTTATAAAGATTGTTTTTTAAAGGAAATATGTTTATCTCATTGCATAATCAAGTCATGTATAAGTCTATCAACATAAAGTGAACATCCCCAAAGGGAAAAAGATTCTTAAGCGACAATGTGATTATCCATTTGATGCTTAAGATTCTACAAAAAGGTCAATTAATGCTAACAGCAATGTTAACAAATTCAATCAGATAATTAGAATTTCAATTTGATTTTGATTATTTATCAAGCAACAGTTGTTTTGCTTTACAAACATGAACTTTAAGGCCTGAACATGTCGAAACTTTGACACAATTTTTTCCATTTATAATTCTTTAAAATTTTTTACCGATGAAAAGCGTACCAAAAATTCAAAGCGATCATGACGATAGTATTTTTGCAAATGTTTTTGATGTAAGCTTAAAATGTTGTGTACAAGCTGTTTTGTGCAATTTGCAACAAGTTTTAGTTTTTCTGAAACTTAGTTTCAGCGTGACAAATCGCTTAGAAAATTTAATTTACTTTTATTTATTTATTTTTCGAGACAGTTTCATACCAATAAGTTTTTTAATGTCAAGTGCATTTAGTTTACAAGATGTCGCTTTCAAAGGTATGAAAAATGGAAGAACCGTGTTTGCTTGATTTACGACTGTTTTTACGCTGCAACTTATACTAATTCAATCATGGACAAGATATCAAGCGAACAAGCTGCTTCGAATGCAATATTGTAGTGAGAAATTCTATTTTATTACTGCAACTGTCAGAAATGACGTGATCGTCTTCTCACAGCAATTTGTGAGATGACAGAATGACTGGATAAAATTTTAACATGATAACTCAAGCAACGAATAATTACTTAAGTGTCTAAGTGATGTGCAAACTTATAATTTAAAATTATGTATTTGTCGGTAAACATTCATTTGCATTGGACAACTCAGATACGACTAAAAGGTGGTAATTTGTATTGCACGCTAAATCTTCCGTTGAAAGTTCCATTTGCATAATTTCCATAATCACCAAAGTGAGATCGCAAATGAAACTCCAAAACAAAAAGTTGAAAGTTTCAATTCATTCTTCCTCCCTTGCGTGGCCTCATTTTTATTCCGTCTGTTTCTATCTGAACCTTGCTATTGTTATTCCATCATCGGTCATGGATTTGTTGTTGAAGAAAGAGAAGAATAAAAACTTTAATGAAACTAACGGTACACAGCTGTGTTGTGTTTGTAAGTGTGTTAATGCTAGAAGAAGAAAGAAAATGATGGCAAACTTCTCTGTTGCCATTTGCGTTGTGCTCTTTCAATTTAGCTTCGTACAAATTCTTTTCGAATCGAATTAGTTTTATTTGCTCCAAAGCCAACATAACGTAAGCGAGCCAAATGTTCACGCGAACTTTACAGAAAAAAAGAGAAAAAAACCACTAAAAATAGTTTCAGACGGAAAGTTCGGCGATAAAAAGAAAGAAAAGATGAACAAAGATGTTAATGGCTTGTCGTTGTTCAGGTAAATGAATATATTGGAAAATTTCTGTTTCTTTTATGAATTGAGGATATAAAAAAGAGAAATAAAGTAAAAAATTGTTTCTCTCAGTCAGTACTTACAACTTACCGTTGTTGCTAAGTTAAGGCAATGGCCGATATAAATTTCAGGTCAGAAGACCCAAAAGAAGAAACAGAAATCTTGTTTTTAGTCAGATCTCAACTTGTATCATTTTCAAGCATGTTTAGCCCTTTTCTGGGCTTCCTGAAGATACGATGCTTCTCAGATAACAACGGTTACAATTCATAACATCGCATAAGTTGTTAAATGTGTGGGCGAGACTATGACTAACAACATTACCTCGTTAACCAGAAAGCTGTGTCGTGTAAATATTGAACCGTGTGTGTAATATTTTCGTCTACATCAATATCTGTTCAAATTGCTTTCCGTGAAAATAAAAACGAACACAGAGTGTGAAGATGATTAAGTCAATAAATCAATGATATTCGTTCGGTCGACGAATTGAAAGAAAAAAGTAAATTCGTTCGTGTTTCTTTGTCTTTCTCTTTTCCTGTCTTTCAACGGCGGCATATATAAATATTGCCAAAAAAGTATTTTTTCTTTCTTTTTTCTGGGTTAATGTTCGACGATTCTACTAAGGGAAAAATGTTTATAACCTAAGACAACAATCATTTGAACGTTCCTTGTTTGCACACGCTCTTCGCTAGCAAATCATACAAAAAAGAAAGCAAGAAAGTATTCGGCGAGTGCTTTTTCGTTTTTATTTTATTAGTTTCCCCAATATGCGATTTTATTTGGGGGATTTACACAAGAAAAGAAGAGCTTTAAGGAGGATGTTGACAAAGCTTTCTCTCTGTCTTTCGACGATGATCGTTCAAACGCAATTATGCTATTATTTATATAAACAGAGATCACTTTACTTTACCTTGTATCGTGAAATGGAATGAAAAAATATTCAATTCAGTTGAAATTTGACGCTGCTGGTTTGGATTTTGTTGAATTTATTTTTTTAAAAATTGACGAAGATTGAATAGAATTTTTCTAGCTTCTCCATTTTCATAAATAACTAATATGTGAGTAAGAAGTTGATATTGCTGAACGGTTTGAACTTAAGCAAACAAAAGTTCAAAGTCTTTAAATATTAATGTCTTGTTATATGTGCTACTCATTTAAAGGTATGCACGTGAACTTATTGCCATGATATTTGCTGTTACTTTAATCGACACGTTTTATTAAAAAGAGGTTCGTGATCTAAGTGCTTCCTACAATACTAAACTTTATAAAAGCTATTTTGAATATTTATTTCAATCTCCACGTTTCTTGCTTGAACATTTCAAATGTTTAATTAAATTTTCGTATAATTAATTTGTTTTGAAACAAAAGATTCTTATTTTTAATGGAAGCTTCCGCACACATTTGCATCATTGAAAAACATTGTAACGATGAAGTCTACTTTAAGATTTCAAAGTATTTAAAGATCTAATGATGACAATTCAAAAATAACTTGTCAATGTCATTCCAATTTGGAGTGCATGGGTGTCCCAATAAAACAGATAATTTAATTCAATGATTGAGAAGTTCAAGTTGAAGTTTGCGGTTTTAATAAGGAGCACAACCTGCTTGTGATTTTGATAAATACTTGAAAGTCTTTAAAAGGTGAGAATGTTTAAAATGTCATTTGACTTTTAGAAAACATTTCACGGAAACGAAAGACTTCCTAAGTATGAATTAACCAAAAATCGATTTGGTTAGAGATCGAAATTATAAGAAACGATAAAATGAGAAACCACCAAAACCTTCAACCAACAAATCGAACTTCAAATTAAGCCAGAGATTATAATTTTATCGGGAAGCGTACTCACATATAAAAGCTCAACCTCAATGAATTCTGAAAGCAACCGTGAACTTCAATGTTCAACATTATCCCGGAATTCATGAGCGGAATAATGCAATTGGAAGGCAACATTTGGAAGAAAACCGCATGATTTCATTACAAAACAATTGTGTGTGAAAATGACGACTCTGCAAAATATTCGAGAGCTAAAATTCTATGGTTGACTACATTTGTAGTCGAGCGAATACAAAACCAGAAACATTTCCGTGATATTATTAGATACCACGCCAGCTTTTCAAATAACTGAAGTTCTAAGCGCAAAAAGCACAAAGTAAAGGAAAAGTCATAAAATGATGATGTTGAATGAAGAAAAAAGAGAAAATCCTTCGTTGAAAAGATTAATTAGAAGTTTTAGCAAAAAATGAGTTAATGACATGTTACTTATGTGTGTATGAAAAAGCTTTTCTTGACATATTCTTCAAGTGTGGAAGTTTTTGTCAAACACTTTCAGATCATTTTGTATTGCAAAGTTAAAAAAATTTAATTAACAAAAATCTTCTATTAGAGAAGCTCAAACTGTTTGAATGAAGAAAATCTTCCCGACACGATGAAAACTCAACGTAATTTGTTGTTTTTCCTAATGAGTCTCACCCTATGCCAAGGTGGCAACAAAATGAGAAAATAAGGAGATTGCAACATTTTTTTTTTGCGTTTCTAATCAAAAATAATCACCGAGAAGTGACTGAATGTTCTTTCTTGGTTTCATAACAATATCTTAAATTTAGCTCAAGATGGAAAATCAATTTTCCTCGCACACAACTTATGATCACTAAGAGCAAAGGAAACCAAGAAGGAAACAATTAAGCATGACAAGCTTTTTAATTGTGAAATCTTGAAGAAATATTTGTTGTTACTAACAAGAAGTCTCACTCACTGTTGCTGTGCGAGTCAAATTTGTCAGTGAATCATTTTCGAAATCGATTTCTGATCCAGTCAAGAAAAGCATCAAACAATTTTCAAGCCAAAGTCAATTGATTGGAAATAAAAGAGATTGAAAATTACATATGAGATAAAATTGAGAAGAAGATAATTCAAAGTTTATCAAGCGATTGTCAATTGCGTCATGTAAATATATTTCATCTACTTTTGTTTATATTGATTTGGGAGAACTGACAAACATGAACTTTGCCTAATACTATAAAGAATAAAGAAAAAATTCCATAATGTCGTCAAAAGGTCCATTAATGAATGTTCAAGTGTAATGAACAGAAAATTTTCATTTATCTATTTCCCTCATATCAAAACTTTTAAAATCATTGCTTTACGTCAAGGTTTTAACAAATGCCTTTGATTTTACTAAATTTTCTTACACAACTTGACTTGAATATTTAATCTGACATTTTTTGAACCAAAGAATAATTGTTTTCATTTCATTCTCGATCGAAAACCATTCATGAGAAAAATCGATGGGAAATTGCGTTCTGCACGAAAACAACAACATCTAGTGGAGAAACTCTTCAGGAAAAAGTATTAAATAAGCTTGGAACAATTTAAAATTGAGTACACAAATCATTAAAATTTCATGATTGGTTTTTGCTTGAGGGTTTATTTGCTTTATAAGTCACATTTATAAGAGTAATGAATTAGAAAATTCCCTTTGTTGAAATGATTGAGTGCAATGATGAAAGTTGTTTCGAAACAATTATTTACACCATCAAATGAAATTTATGAAACAAGAAACGTTTCTACCAGCGTTGTTAAGATATCTTTCAAAGATATCTGTTTGTTTGCTTGTTTGGAAAATAATCAAATGCAAATCAGCTTCTACAATAACCAAACTCAAGAAACGGCTGCTATTTTCGTCCTTAAAATAACAGAAATTTTCAACACAAATGCAAATGCTTTCAATTAAAAAGCCTCTTGAAAAAGTTTGAAGGAACTTTAATTGAAGCATAAATATTCATTATTTTGGATTATTATATGGATTACTTTCGTTCTTGTTAATCTCAGCTGTTTTCCTTGAGAAGAAAATGTTTCGTTTATTAAGAAAGAATTTTACATTATCCTTGAATGCACTTTAATTCTTGTATAACCCATGAAAGTTTCCTAATTAAAGATCATCCTATTTAAGCCACCTTAAAGGCATTAAGACGAATCTGTCCAGAGAATCTGTTTTACAGAACGTGTAGACAGGAAATCTTTATTTTCCTTTAGTCTCTTCATTCATCCATTCACAGTGACTTAACTGTGCATTTGTGTAGTCGTAAATTTTTAATAACAATTTAATACAATGTGACTTTACTTTATAAACTGCAATTACAAATTGCAATAAATCATTTCGTATTCATTGGCTTTTCGTATATTGTGTTTGTTGTCAAACACATCGACTTCGATTCCAAAATTTATTGTTCGACTATTCAGATTTTGTTGAGAACATGGAAATGCGAATTGCAGGGATAGATTTTAATTTTTTGACCTTTACCATGAAAGTTACTCAAGGAAATAATCCTAGTTATACTCTTGTGCTTTCATTAGAACTCAACATGTGATATAATATTTGTGGGCACATGTTTCAGGGATCATCATCATCATCATAATATGCTGAACTAAACTGAAGAATGTTGAACATCCTTAAATAAGATTTTTGTGTAGGAAGTAAGTTCTCCCGATATGATGTCTAAATTGATTGTCAGCTTTGAGTTTACTGATTTTTGATTCTCTCGCGCTTCATATGATTGCATAAAATTCTGGTATTTGCAGTTAACCCAGATATAAACGCTTTATGTCTGACATTCGAAACTCATACGTGTGATAGCTTGAAGTGAATATTATTCACGATTATCTGAATGTGTAAGAAAATATTTCACAGACATCGAATGAAAGAAAGTAGAAGAAAATGATTTTCTCATTTATAAATTTCATGATATCAAGATATTTGTTCGGAAATGAATTGAAATTTAATTGAATCGAATTGAACGTAGACATGATGTTTGAATTCTATTTCATGAGATGAATAGAAGTAATCGCTTTATGCTTTTCATAACAGACGCTGAGAAGGAAGTTGGGAAATTTTTTTATTTTCTCTTCTAAATAATACAACAGAAAAAGAACCTTCGCCACCCACACATAGCATCACATCTACTTTTTATCGAGTGCTTCCAGAAAAGGATTAAGTGGTGACCGAGATAAATAAGCTAACGTGATATTTAGTATGACCATTGACGATCAACTATTTCAGATAATGCAGAAAGTAAACAAATAAGGCATCAATACAGATCAGGATATTGCCTTAAACTTCCATTTGAAGGAATTTCTATTTTTGTCATGAAAACTTCAACTCGACAGACATCTTATTTATTGCTTTGTTACTCCTAAACATTTCTCTCTCTTTTTTAAGGCAATAAATGCCACAAACAAAGTCAATTGTCAAACGCTTTATAACTGTTGACTTTGAAGAAAATATTAAAATATCAATCACAATTTCATAGAAATTCATTGAAATATTTGGTTGATGTTTAGGCTACACATATTTTATTAGAAATATGTTAAAAGTCAGGAAATATTCATACGAACCTAAAAGACATTATTAACATTGAAATGCCCACGTCAATGCTTGAATTCTGCACATCAAGCGAATGTAGACACATTTAAATGTTTCGCTCCAATTGATTGATTATCTTAAACTTGTTCAAACATATTTTTTAGCAATTTTAGTGCAACAACTCGCCTTTAAAACTTGTTTTTTCGATACTAAGAGGTTTGTGACTAACATTCTCATAGAGTCGCTGCAACAGTAACAAATATGAACTTAAGAATTAGCATGTTTTTCTCAAAATGTTGCTTTGTTGATGTTAGTTTGTGTGATGACCGATGAACACGAATGAAGGTCGGTGTCGCTTGCTTACTTGCTTAGAACGAGTATGTAAATAATATTGTTAAATGTTGATCAAAGTGGCACGTTTAACGTCTAACGGTTTAATTAACTTAACGTTCTAAATCTCTTTATTCGTACTTATTTTTAAGTTTATATCAATAATAAGAATCTTGCGAGATTGATTTATATCTTTTCTATTAAAATGTTATTCATGCGAACTTAACCGCCTATGAGTTCATCCCTTTTCATTTGAAAGTCGTCAATCAGGCCACAAATCATCTAGATAAAGAGATATTTAGCTATTTATTGATAATCCACCCGAGTTAAGTCATACTTCCCAACCAATATGATTATCGCTTTTATCGTCGTCGTTCTTATCTGTACGGAGCTTTTCTCAAATAACACCATCGTCATCAAATCGATAATCGTAAATTCTTTCACTTTCCGAGATAAATCATGAAAGTGATTTTCCGCTGTCAACTCATGAATGAATATCAACAAAATCAACTCCGACATATTATCAGCGATAAGCAACCCCATAATCCTTTTTCCCACACGACAAAACGAACTGTTTAAGATGTTAAATCATCATAATAATAAATATAATATATGATCCATCAAGTTTTAAGAGATTTTATTATTATAAAGATGATGTTGAAAAAATCTTGACAATCGTTTTACTTGACTCCCACATGAAGTGAAGAAGTTGACAATCTTTATGTGGGAGAGAAAAATGAAACTTCATTTCGCTTTTCTTTTCTCACTCCATGCAAAATCCGATATCGCGGCATACTTCCCTACTTACTTACTTACATACTTACTTACTTAAAAACAGTGTAAAACTTTTTTTCTTTCTTTTTTAATTTATTGTGATCGGCACAGTTTTCTTATTCTTCTTCTTCCCGTTTGTCGAGTCTGTCGAGTTAGTTGAATTACTTGCTTGGCTTGAATATTTCATAGAGAAGATAAGATACGAAAGATGCAAATAAAAAGCAATTTCAAGGCTTGATATTCTCTTTCCGTTGCGCGGAACAAGAGCGTCAAGTAAATGAAATTTTATATGAAATGAAGAAGATGTCGCAATTTAATTGAATCTATAGAATTTCTTTTTCTTCTACTCAAATCGCATTTAGGAGAAACGAAAGATGATGGTTGGCGGAAGTTCTCGCATCACAATCACATTTTTGTTATTTCTCGTTTTTTTCTTCTCCTTGTGACAATTTAAATTCACGAGTTTGTCTCATGTTTTTTTCTTCTTTCAGGGAGAAATTCTATACCATGAAATTGCGTAACAACGAAAACATTTTAATGTTTCCAAATTGTTACATATTAAATAATATAAATAGAACGTGGTGGAGATAAATGTTTACGAACATAAAAGAAAAGGTTTGAAGTGCGGGGGGCTTCACGTAATTATGAAACTTCGGCCATTGACACATCTGCCAATCAACCCGCAAAATAATTCTGAAGCCCATTTCTTCATGCTTTTGTTCTTGACGAAAAGTATACTTAAGGTATGAAAGAACGACCCTTGCTTGTCGGTCTCGGTTTTATGTCGATGCCTCTTGGGCAGATGTCAAGAAAAATGTTCAAAAAGTCTTAAAGAAATTGATAATTAATTATGTTTCTCGTTCTTAATCTTTTATCATCATCATCATAATATCTACTCAGACTCAAGTTAAGAAGTTGAGTTTATTTATTTTCGAGTCACTTAATGATAAAACCGCTAATGACTTGACGATGATTTTGGCCAATTTCCCCATGGTCGCCTTCATTAAATATGATGAATAATATATCAATGAATTTGAGTAAAGACGCTTAAGCTTGATTGGATAATTAAGGGGCCACGACATCTTTCAAATTGAATTTATTGACCTCAAAAGCGCATCACATAAAAAGACATTTTTCGATAGTATTTATTTGGTAAATAAAATATCGAATTAAAAGTTTTTGTTAATGTTTCCTCTCAATGAATTGCAGCTGTTATTTGATGACATTTATAGCTTCCATGCCATAGAGCTCTATGGTGTGCTATGTTGCAACTAACACAAGCAAAGATAAAAATAAACCGACAAGAGAGTCATTTAAATGGACGAAAAAAAGTAATAAAAGGAATTGAATGGAATTCGCTATCCAACAAAAATTAAATGCGGCGATCACAGAGACAAATAAAATTTCAATCAAACAAAACTGAACATCATGCATGCGGTAAACAATTTTATTTCATGTTCACGATGTTCATTTGCTTCATGTGAATTTTTATGTTGTTTTGGTAAGAAGAAGAAAGAAAAAAGTTAATTTTTGTGTGCGAGTGTACAGATCATGAGATTATTCCTTTCTTTTTTTTTTACTCCACTCGACCCCTTCTAAGAGATTTAAAATTATTCATAAAAAGTGAGTAGTTTTGCTTGGTTTGTAAACCATGGAATTTTCCACTCGAGGAGGTAAAGATTTTCAAGAACGAAACTTTCTCAATAAGAAGGAAGGAATGTAACGTTAGTTGTTGTAAGGAAGAAGGAGAGACAATAAATATTGATATAAGTAACAGAGTAAAACCTTTTTTTATCATTGACATTCAGTATTTAATTGCAGTGAATACTACACAACAAACAAACAAAAGAATCATTCGAATGAACCCACGTCTCATGAAGTGAAGAGTCTTCTGAAGTGTAAATTGAAACGAAAATCGCTTGAGTGATAAATGTGGAAAAACATGTGAAAAACTAACAAAAGACCGCACATGAATAGTAGCTGATAACGACGAAGTAATTTTTTCATGAACATCAAATGAAGATAAACACAATAAACAACACGAAAACTTCTTATTTAAATGCTTGCTTAGTGAATTCTCTCGTCTCATGACACTTTATGTTGAAGTACCGGAGATTTGCTTTAACTATTGCTAACCATGAACATGCACAAATATCCATTCCTTACATATACATCGAAACTTTTCCATTTTGAATCACCCTCATCTGTTATGAGTCTAATACATTGGTTTGTTTTTTCTTATGCACACCGGAACACAACAACTCTGTGCTTTGCTGTGGTTCTTCACTTCTTCACCTCGATATTTATTTCTTTCTTACTCTAACTTAAATGAACACTGCTTTTTGCTTTTTTTTATTCATACTTATTTCTACTTCAAGCATTCTTTAAAAGGCGACGTTGAATGTAAAAATAGAAGAGAAAAAAAACACGAAATCATAATCTTACCTTTTCCAAAACGAAAACCTTTTTGCAGCTATTGTTGCTTATATAAATCCCAATAATCCAATTAATTAGAAGTCACAAAGCGAGAAATTTTTCCACTGGATAAAATTCTATCCACTATTGAACTGATTACGGTATTGAGTGATTCGTTCATACACTGAGATGTTTTTTTTTTCTGTATTGAAGTATCTCCAGTTTCCAAGGTAGTTCGACAAAAGTATTTCCTCGTAAATTTTTTAAAAACTTTTCTAGCTCAGATTCCACTTGAACATTCATAAACACTGAGAGAGAAGCAAACACATTTATTTTTCTTTCCTTTCTTTTATTTTCATCTGCTTTTAAACTTGAGAGAAAGAAACGCGATTTGACATGATTTTATTTTATTTTTTTTTATATTTTTTTTTACTCTTGAAAACACTCTATGAAAACAAACACAACTTTTTTTTGCAATTTTCTAGAATTTCAGTTGTCGTTTCTTCTAAAGATTTTCATTAACACAACTTCATTCGATTTATTGATTCTCAGAATAATTTTCAGGATTCTTTTTTATTGCCTATTTCTGTTCAACATAACTTCAAAATGAGAGATTTTTCAGTCGGTCTTTTTTGGGAAAAAGTTATCCTGCTTATTTTCTCTTTCGAAATTAATTTATTAATTTTCTTTGAAAAATCTTTCAATGATTTATAAATCTTTAAATCAATCCAAAGAAGATTGAGTTAATAGTTGAATGATCTCAGCTTAAGTGATTGGAGTTTATGAATTTAGGTTGCTAAACAAAAACAAAATAATTTTCACCATATTATCCAAGCGAATTGTAATGCTCTGTCTCCGCTGTTCGAAACTTACTGAAAATATTTCAGAAGTAGAAAAATATCAGAGTGGTGTGAACGGTGAAAACTGTTTTGGGTTACGCTGATTTCTCTCCCAGATTATGTTGAATTCTCTCTCGCATTTTGGATTTCACTGACATTATCTGGATAATATCGGAGACACTTTGCATTACAGTAGAAAGACTTTATTATAGGTGGCGTGTCAAAGAATGTTCAATGACTAATGATCAACAACTTTTCACAAACTTAAAATGAACTTTACAAAATGGTTAAAAGATGGCGCTATGTATTTGAAAATGTGAACATAAAAATGAAACTTTTGATGGAAGTGAACAATAATTTTTATAACAATTTCCAACTTCTGAAAAACTACAGAAGGGAATAAAATAATGCCGGTGATCGATCAGATAAGAAAAAAGAAATCTAAATCAACATCGAATGAAATTAAAGATAACAAAATTGAGTAGATGTCACATTCCTTAATCTTTCTTATCTTTTGAGCCTGATATCAAGATATTTATGTAATCGGTATCAAACAATCATTAGGCAACAAACAGAGTTTTATTTTATTTGTGCATTTTTATTTTGAAAAAGATTGCGTAAAAAATAAAGTAAATAATCGACAAAAATATATTTAATGCTATCATCATGTAGTAATAATTTAAATTGGAATATTTTTTTTAATTTCTCAATTGGAGTTTCTTCGTTTTCGTATCAGATCTTGCTGGAAATCCTCGTATATGATTTTCTATGCATTCAAGACGATCACCATCACTTTAAATATGACTACATTTCATCACAATACTATGCAAACCCTCTGGGCTTAAAAGTTACAATCGCGAACCGTTGAATTTATGCTCGATGAAAGGTTGGTTAGATGTGGTGCAATATTCATAATTTTTTGTTTTTTTTGATTAGGAGTGAAGGGAGATACATTTAGAATCGCTTCATATTTCCAACATTCTTCTATCACTTCGTGTAATCTAAAAATATTAAGAACAATTTGTTAACTTTTCCAAGGCTTAAATGACTGAAAATAAAAATACTTTGAAAACTTTTCACATTTTTTTTGGTTGTGCAAAATTAAGAAATGATTTTTGTTTTGGGTTTTATTGCAGCGGTTGATGCGATAGATAAAGTTTTTCGTTTAATCAGGCAGCCATTAAATTAAACTTTAATACAGGCATAAATAAAAGTAAAACTTAAAAAATGAATAAAATTAAAAGAAACATACGCAAAAATTCAAAATTTTGTCCACAAGGTTTGATATCTAAAAAACTTTACTAACTTAATAAAAAGAAGATTCAGGATAATTTAATATTTACATAATCCTTACGAATTAAACAATATCAGGTGCAAATAAAAGAGAAATCAATAAAAGTGTCTAGTTACGAGGCTGGAAAGATAAATATCTACACAAAAAGTTTTCTTTTTAAACACAATTTCCATCGAAAGAAAAAAAAGAGAAGTTTAAACTTTAAAGCACAGGTTGAGCGATAGCTGAAATACAAAAAAAGTTATGCATAGACGATGATGTTCATGTGCCTACTATCACCGATAATTACTGTATAGATGTAATAAAAATCATATTCATCTTTTAATGGATTAGCAGGCTTTTAAGTGTGAAATAAAATGCGCAGCTAATGAAAATAAACAATTTTGTAATCATAACAATACTCAATACCTTCTCCAGCATAATTTTAGATTTGTAAGTTGAAGTTTGTGTTTGTGCGTGAGTGCTTTTCAGGCGTTTTATTTAATACGCTGTTGGCTTATTCTGTTTGTGAAATTTAGCAGGCAAACGAGCATGATATAACTATGTAAATAAACTTAAGATAGACAACTAAAACTTTTATTTTGTTGATGAGGAAAAAACAGAGAGTGAGGAAGAAAGATAAGCAAAAGGATTCGTCCATAATTACTAAACATTATTTTTTCGTGATGTTATTAGGGTTACTTTTTGTTACGCAATTCATGGACGATTCCTTTCAAAAGCTGCTGGTTGAATTAAGAAAGTAAATGTCATCTTTATTACTCCATTTCACAGTGGCATTAGACGAGAGTTTTATACTTAAATCCTAGCAGGAAAACACCATTCAACCATCCACAAATAAATGTTTGGTAAGCGGATAATCTGCGAAAAACATCATTTGATTCGAAATATGAAAGAAATAAATAAAAAAAATGAAAATTTAATGCAAAAATAAATTTTGAGCTGCAAAAACTTTTCCACAATTGAATCGTGACTAAAAACTTTGAAACCATTTCGACGATGTGATTTACAAGCAGAATGAGTGAAATTAATAGCATTAAATCAAACTTTGGTACCATCCACCATTTCTCTTTTTCTATTTTTTCCTTCCCGCAATTAAGAAAACCACTTATCGAGATTTGTCGTCGATTGCAATGATAACGAAATATTATTCTATTAAGTTTCATGTTTTTTTATTCCATAAAAGTGATTAATTTGTTATAGTCTATAATTATACATTTTTAATATATTTTACTTCTTTTTTTGTTTTTACTTCCTTTCAATTTTAATAGTCATGTGTGTCAATTTTATGGTGTGTGTGTGTGTGTCTTGCTGACTGTTTAATCATTCAAACAATTTATGAAAGCTTTTTAAAGTTAAACTTCTAATAAAAAATATTCAAAGAGAAATAAATAATTCAACGTAACAGGGAAAAAGGAATAAAAAAAGTTTCTTTACTTTCATCTTTAAAAGCAACAAAAGGATTTAATTAAATTTTCAAGCTCATAGTTGAATGAACTCAAACTTTTATAATCCACAAACCAATTTTATTATTTATGCTGAAGGAATATAATTAAGTTGGTTTTAAAACAAAGTAGGATTAATTATTACGAACAGAACGTAAAAGATTTTTTGCGGGTTTCGAGCACATCTATCGATTTAATAACGAAACGAAAGGAAACCAAAAAGTTATATGAAACAAACACTAGCTTCATGAATTTGGACATATTTGCAATTTAAATGTCAATGTTTGCAGCTTAAGGCAACTTCCGTATACCGTAACATGCCGTAGTTTGAAAAATATCCCTTAATGCATACATTTCATGACAACAAGACATTATATCATTTCCCCGCTGATCCCTTTTTATGGAAAATTATTGCAGTATTGTATTTAAACTAGTAGCACGAGAGGCTCGCATACGAACGAACAAATAAATACAAACTCATTCATAAATAACAATAAAATGGAAAACTTTTCAATGCTGCGTTTTATCATTTATGTGAATCATGAAATATTGTCCCCAATAGTGTCACAGATAATTTTCATTTGAAAAATTTTTCATCTGAATCGAAGAAATATGATGACCAGAAATTATTATCAATCGTGTGTGGTGTTGCGTTTCAGATATTTATTATTCTTCTATGTGACCAAATCAAAGCATGTCTAAATCTGAGGCGCCGCATAAAGCGCAATTTATCCTCATCCTTCTCAAGGAAAGTTATTCATAAATACGAGTTCACATTTCGTAACGAAAGAAAGTATAATAATAAATATAATAAAAGTTTGCAGAACATAATAAATTAACATGAAAATGACATAAAAAATACAGCAAGGAATAAATTAAAATCAAGCGTGGAATAGCAAAGTGAAGTATTTTTAAATAAAAAGCTATTTAAATTTTG